CCCCCCCCCCCAGCTCTGAATCACAAGCGGGATTAACTACATCCCTGCAGTGTCATGTAAGGTCATGCTGAATCCTTTCAGCAGACACAGCAGCATGCTGCCTGGTGCTGATCTGGCATCAGTTTTTCAAATTCAGGGAGTCCTTAGGAATACTGCCACACTTATCCTGTAATTTAGGACAATCAGTTTTTTCATCTACGCTGTCAAAGCTTTACTGATGGCCTTCACTCAGTGGTGCCTTCTCTGTAGGCCTGGGGGCGCAGCAGGCAAAACAATCTAAGATTGCACATGTTCTCTCTGAATTTCTTAGGCTGTAAATAGGCATCACATCTGATGGGGGTTTGATTGTGCCAGGGCTCAACCCAGATCACAACAGGTGCAGCACAGTCATTTATTTACACATGGCCCTTCCAAGATGTGTTACTGCTTATGTGTCCATGAGAGCACACAGTCTCGCTGGCTAATCGCAGGAACAACCTGCAATAACCTTACAAACTCATGCAGTCACATCCCATGAAAAAGCCTTAGCACACTTTATCCCACATACTTCAGATGGCCTTGAAGAGGGACAGTGGCCTTGTATATCTGTAGGATCCCGGGATAAAAGCAATGACTATTTACAGCCTTAGTGGTAGAACAGTGAGGGAAGCAAATGCACATAAGGAATTCAAGCAGAGGTGAGGGGAAAAGTCACTGGAGGGTGAGGTGGGGCAGGATTCCACATGAAGCGGAAGGAAACAGGACAAAGATTCATGGAAAAAGTTTGACTGCTGGGAGCTAGAACTCTCCTCAGACAACGCACCCTCAGCCAGAACACTCTAAAGAGACAGCAATGCTTTTAATACCTCTGCTCCATCCAGGGAGAGGGAGCCATCCTTGAACCTCTACATAAAAGGTGCCTATCAGAGCAATGTGAATCAAGAATCACAATGCTGCTGTGCAGGTCAGCAGGGGAGATCCAACCTGGGAACAGGGGCCTAACTCATCCCACAGTGTTCTGAGGTAAGACCAGGAAATAAATCTCCCAGTTACGTAGGCTTGATGGATCTGGGTTGATCAACAGGGAAAGGGACCAAAGAGTCTTAAAGTCTCTTATTGGCAGCACTTTAAATTCCATTCAACTCAATGGGCCCTAGTCCCACCCATGGGGCAAAACAGGGCTAAAATGGAGACTTTCTTTGGACCCTCAGCAATCCCCCTGTAGTTTTGAGTCCATGGTGGTCTCTCAGGAAAAAGACTAAGGGACCAGGTTATTGGCCAGTGCCACTACCAGCATCAGCAGCAATGATTGCCCATACCCCTCATGAAGCCAAACCGACCTCTTCTCCAACCAGAGCTGGCGCCACCACACCACAGCAGCATCACTGCACTCCAAACTTTGGAGTACTTCAGCTGCACGTAGGTGCCCTGAGAGGGTGGATCTTACTTACCTTGCCCCACCAAAATACCCATCCTGCAGCTTCCTTAAGGTTGCCAGGACTGCTGGGTGTACAGCAGTGCCAGTTTCATCTGAGTAAGAGAGAAACACTAGCAATAAGAGTCTGTCAAAAAGGAACATTTGGAATTCCATCTGCTCCCTACAGGGCCTTATGCTGAACAGCATTTAGAGTACTTCTCTGGCAGTGCACTCAATTCAATGAGTACCCCAGACCTAGTCACCTGCCCCTCTTCCCCATAACTCTATTGATTCTTTTGCACAGACCAGGCTTAAAGAGATCCCCCTCGCTCTCTTTCAGGCTTCCAGTTAACTGAAGCTCTGAGTAGTAACAAAATCAAAGGCCAAGGAACACCCAGTCAGGACTTCTGGGGGGTGCACAAGCATGTGATATTATTGCCCAGCACACAGCAGGCAAATGAAAAGGAGAGAAGAACCACTTAGAAACAGTTGCCAGCCTGGGTCTGGCCTATCTAGCCCAGTGTGCTGTGTTTGACTGTGGCTAATGACAGAAATGATAATGGAGAGTTTTGGAATAAGCAGACATCACAGAAATTTCTTCCTACCCCTAGTTTATGCTGGAATGTTTATGTACTGCTTTACATGCACAGAGCTCATGGGAAAATACACAACTAATTTTGCAGCTTGCCCGTGTGAGAAGGAAAGAGAGCTGGAGCAAGATCAGTGCTTCATGCCTTAAAGACACTTAAGATAAGTGAGCATAAAGGATAATTAGGCTGATTAGAGACCTTTAAGAAAGATCTGTGACAGATCCCCTAATCGCTTTAAGAGGGCAAGGACCATCTAACCTGCAAGAGGGCAATGGTCTAACACACTGTGACTGAACAACAATGGTTCTTATTTGGGGCAGCTGAGTATAGAAAGGAGCAAAAGAGTAATCCATGGGGTAGAAAAGGAAGTGCTCACCCTGCTCCCAACAATGAGCAAAGGGACAGGCAGTGAAATCTGGAGGCACCCAGTGATATCTGAAGGCAGCCAGTGAAAAGGTAGCAAATTTAAGGTAATGTCTTTTCACATAGTACACTATTAATCTGTGGAACTCCCTGCCACGAGATACTAATGGGCCCCTGAGTTCAGAAGTGTTTAAAAAAAAAATATATGAAAAAAGGTAAACTACTTCCACAGCAACATGAAAGAGCACTATTACATCTGATAGGATAACATGGAGACAATACATAAACCTTCTGGTATAAGCCAGCTGTTACATGATGGGGTAGGAAGAAATTGCCATGATGTCTGCTTATTTCAGAATTCTCCATTATCCACTGGAATTAGCCACAGTCAAACACAGGACACTGGGCTAGACAGGCCAGACCCAGCCTGGCAAGTCTCTCCAAGTGGTTCTCCTCTAACTTTTCACCAAGTCAGTTTCTCAGCTTCTGTATTAGAGAGCTATATCCAGAAGGGCAGCCAGTGAGAAGCAGAAAGCATCCCAGTGCAGGACTGCAAAGAACAGAGATAAATATTATAGTGACCAGGTAAAAAGAGAGGGAATTCCAACCAGCCTATGGAAATGGTCCAGCCATTTGTCACATCTACAGAGAACCAGGCTCCCATGACAGACTGAGCTCTTCATAGGACCAGGCATAACCACCCTACTCTGATGTTGTCCCACTGATCAACTGGGGCTCTGATGCAACTTTAGGTGGGGGACAAGGGACTACAAGTTTTTAAAAATGGCATTTGCTTTGACTTCCTAGATACCCAGGGAGATACAGGCCAAAGGTCTTTACCAAGCATGGTCTGTGAAATGGGAAAGGTGATGGTCGGCCGTCCAGTCATCCTCCAGCGGCTGCACAAATAAGACAAGTCTGTCCGCAGCATCTCCACAATCATCCTGTTGTCCAGTGCCAAGTAGAACTGCTGCTGATCTATAAACTGCAGAGAGCACACCAGAGAGGTCAGCATGGACTAAGGTGTGAAGGACTCAGACTACATTACACTAGAGCAGTGAGGGAAGCAGGCACTATATCCACTAATAAAGGAAGACCTAGAAAGGCCTTAACAATGGCACAGCTAAATGATCTATCCACTGCCTTGCACTCTGTCTGGGTTTCTAAAGGATTTCACAGGTGGCACACTCTACTGGCTATTTAAATGTCAAGCCAAGCTTAACTGGAGATTCACTTCTGGTATTCCAGGCTCCAGGAGAAGCCAATACGTGGCTATTAGGTCACCCTGGAAATCCTTTCTATATTCCATCCTGGAGACAACCCCAGCTTTGAGACTCCTGCAGTAGGACATGTTGGCCAGTTCTTCAGCCCTGCCTCTCACGAGTTTGCTTTACTGAACTGGAGATATTACATATGATAGTCCACAAATCCAGGATCAGGACCTGCCAAGCCCAGCCACCCACCTGGGGAGTGAAGGTAAAGATGTTCTTTCTGATGTCATAAAGCTTGGAGGTCCCCAGGACTCCCATGTGCCGGAAGGGCCGGCCACTCAGTTTCATGTGCTTATTTCGGCCTGGGAGGGGCAAGAAGAAAAGAAGTCAATGCCTCCCTAACGCCCTAATCTATGTGGAGGTGTAAAAGAGAACAGGTAACCAAGCCTGAGATGGGCAATCCTAACTCTAGAGATGCTATGCTAACCTCAGGCAGCATGGTTCATCTGATCTAGTGTATGCCAGCTCATGCTGTAGCAAATAACGAACTGAAGGCAAAGTGTGTTCTCCTGTGAGGGATGTCATGGATAATTCAAATGACACTCTGAGCACTCAGGAGACAGGCCAGGCAGGAAGGAAGACCTAGCACTTTCAGCTGCATAAGGACTTGCCTCAGGCTGGAAACAAAGTAGAGCACAGTCACTGGCCTAGTCACAGCTACTCCCACCATAGCTAACAGTAGCTATTGTGGAGTCACCATGCCCTCAGCTGCTCTGCATTTCCTACACGGAAAATATTCCACTTTCAAGTTGGCTATCCAGTTTTTTTACTGAACATATTATTCAAGTCATTTTTGCAGCCCAAGTCCATCAGCATTCCCCTCTGGCATGGTGAGCAGGGCAGGGAGGGGGCAGTGATATCCAGAAGACAATGGACTAACAGCATAGATTCAACTCCCTTTGCCACCATTCATCTGATTGCAGGGAGCATAAGCAGTGTAAGCCCCAGTGATACCCAACAGCATCTTTACTAGGTGATTAAAAGGGTCCTCACTTCAAATACCCAATTCTTGTCTGGATAGCATGAACTCTGGAGCGCCAGTTGAAACTTTCCATCGACAGACAACCTGTTTGCTTCATAGGCCCATGAAAACCAGTTGGGCACTTTACTCACAGCCTGCTGGAGGGTCTTGTTCAGCAATCCAGCATCACAGCACCCAGGCTGCAACCACCATAGGGAGCTTTGAAAATGTCATGTCTGAATCCATCAGAACTAGCTTTAGGAGCAAATTCAACCCATGTTCTTCACCCTGGATGAAGCTAGGCTGCTGGGTCAACAGGATGGAGACTATGGTGTTTCTTGAAAGGGGGGGGATTTGCGGGGGGAGGGGGGAGTGGAGTGGGGGAAGAATGAGGTGGGGAAAATAGTAGTGCTGGGAAGAGGATGCTCTGAAGTAGCAGAGCTGGGAAGAATCCCCAAGGGACCTTTGCTTCTTTGCCAGGCTGTGCTGAATCCCCTAGATGATTCATCTAAGGAAATAACCTGGTTAGAAAGAGCATTGGGACTGCTGCGCAGGTCACCATCCCACCCACACCCCCAGTCAGTGAGGAAAGGGTTAACTGGCAGTTTTTTCATATTCCCCAATCAGAAAGGAAGGGGAAAACAACATTGAGCACAACAGAGTGAGGAACCACCATGTGACAAGAGCAGACACTGTGCAGAGGACTGGGCATGCCTCAGAGATCATGGACTTCACACATTGCACTGCCCAACCCAGCCCTATCCTATCCAGGGTGTTACACCACAATCGCTGCTCTTGCTTCCCTAAGGGGTCAGACCCCAGCTGCTTCCATGCAGTATGAATTGATATATGATGCCACTCACCCAGCCTGGCATAGATGTGGCTGAGGATCCGGGCTGGCTGGACTCGGATGGGGTAGACATCCGTCACCGTCTCCACATCAATGCCCTGCTTCCTCAGGATGGACTTGATGCCATCTGTCTCAGCCAGGATGCATACTGGGGGAGGGAGAGGAGAGTGGAATCAGCAGTTGAGTCTCTCTGATGGGATTTTGCCCACTCAGTGGCTCTTGCTTCTTGAGGCTGATGCCCAGGGACATGGAGTGGTTGGCTGAAGATGACTTTTCAGGTTCTACCTTGTTAGGATCACCACCTCCTCCCTGCCCCTCCCCTCCTCTTCCCCCAGTGATGCCAGCCACCCTGGAAGACAAGCTGGTCACTTTGTCACCAGGGAGGCATCCTGAATGCCACCTTCACACTTGCAGAAACAGTTAAAAACCCTCAATGTCCAGTGTCCCGAAGGCAGGTCAGGGTGTAGACACCAATATAGGAAGGAGACATGGAGTTTAGAGTGAGGCCTATCTGGCAGGGAGTTCTGGACCAGCACTGGCAGGTTGCGATTTAAAGAGAGCACTTACATTTCTACAATACCTTCTGTCCTGGTGGACTCGAAGCTTGGAGTGCAGTTGTACTGCAGTAGCTACAAGTGCTGTAATTGCTTTATATTGCCTTTTTTTTTTTTTTTTTTTAATATAATGAATCTTGTTATGATTTATTTTTCATATTTTAATCAGTCATTATTATTCTGTACCAAATATTAAATAACCATGGAATTAACCATCAATTTAAAATTTCCTATTGCTTAGCATAAATATATTTGACCTATTGGTCTCATGATTTTAAAACTTAAATTTAGTATAAGAAAAATGCTTATGTAAGGTCTGTCGTATATCTGGCATGTTTGAAAAGAAGTAATGAAAGAATGAATGATGTATGTTTGTGACAGTGTGAAGGAAGACAGTCCTCTCACAGCAGGTGAAAATAGCCTTCTGTGGTTTAACTGTTAAAGGTTGCAGTA